GAAATAAAAAATTCTCTAACACTCATTAAAAAAATAAAATAAAACAGGCCGGGCGCAGTGGCTCACGCCTGTAATCCTAGCCCTCTGGGAGGCCGAGGCGGGCGGATTGTTTGAGTTCAGGAGTTCGAAACCAACCTGAGCAAGAGTGAGACCCCTTCTCTACTATAAATAGAAAGAAATTAATTGGCCAACTAATATATATACAAAAAAATTAGCTGAGCATGGTGGTGCATACCAGTAGTCCCAGCTACTCAGGAGGCTGAGGCAGTAGGATCGTTTGAGCCCAGGAGTTTGAGGTTGCTATGAGCTAGGCTGACGCCACGGCACTCACTCTAGCCAGGGCAACAAAGTGAGACTCTGTCTCAAAAAAAATAAATAAATAAATAAATAAAATAAAATAAAATAAAACAAAATTATAGAGTTCCCATATGTTCTCTTTTCTCCATTTCCCTCTCCCCTACAGTTTTCCCTATTATTTACATCTTGCATTAGTGTGATACATTTGTCACAGTTAATGACCCAATATTAATGCAATATTATTAACTAAAGTCTATAGTTTACATTAGGGTTCACTCTTTGTGCTTGACATTCTGTGGGTTTTAACAAAAGTGTAATGTCACATGTCACCATTACAGTATCATTCTGGAGAGTGTCACTTCCCTAAAAAAGTCCCCTGTGCTCTACCATTTCACCTCTCCCTCCTTTGCTTCCCTTCTTGATTTATCTTCTCACTCAACACGGATATAGTGAACACCCACCATATTACACTGTGCTGATTGCTGGAAGCATGAAATCAGATGTATAAATAAATAACTGCAGTGAAGTGTTTAGTGGTGACTCAGTAGACATCGGCATAGGGGATGGCAGAAGTACAAATAAAGAGTAGTCAAAATCCTGAGCTTTAGCTGGTGAACATCAATGAACAAAATGTGAAGGCCCTTGTTTCCACAACTCTTAACACAAATAGTATGTCACTGCTAGGAGAATGGAATAATAAGAAGCAGTATAGTATTGTTTCTACATTGTGATTTTTTTTTTTTTTTTTTTTTTTTTGAGACAGAGTTCCCTCTGGCTGCCGCGGGCTAGAGTGCCGTGGCGTCAGCCTAGCTCACAGCAACCTCAAACTCCTGGGCTCAAGCAATCCTCCTGCCTCAGCCTCCCGAGTAGCCGGGACTACAGGCATGCGCCACCATGCCTCGCTAATTTATTGACTAACTACAAAGAAATTAATTGGCCAACTACATATGTATTTGTAGTTGGCCAATTAATTTCTTTCTATTTTTAGTAGAGATGGGGTCTCACTCTTGCTCAGGCTGGTTTCAAACTCCTGACCTTGAGTGATCCACCCGACTCGGCCTCCCAGAGTGCTAGGATTACAGGCGTGAGCCACCACACCCAGCCTGAATTTTTTTTTTTAAGTCAGTTAAACACATGTTATTTTCCATTCAAAAATAAACCTATCCAGTAAATTTTAAATTATTAAGTTAATGAAACAAATTAGAGATTAAGTCTAGTAATAGCCAAGACAAATGTGAATCTTTGACTAATTTAGTACCTCTCTTGTTGTTTTGAATAGTATCACTAGTCCATGATACAGTATTGAAAACAATATATGAGTGGAATGAAGGAAATGCACAAAGAGTCTTTTCAATCCCCTCCAGGCTTGTGATTCTGAGTCTTCGATTCCTTTATTTGTAAAATAATCTAGTACAGTGCTGTGTTTATTGATTTTACTCTGTCTTCAAAGCAAAGTTAAATCAGATCACTAGTCCACCATATGCAGTTGAGTGTTTCTGAAATTCCAGTGGGGTCTTCACAACGAAAAGCACCAGTGATTTTTAAAATAGTTCTATATTTGGAAAGGCTTCTGTCATACTTGCAGTAGTAACAAAGACAAACCAGTGTCTATATTTGGTCAGCACTAATACTCTTTGGCTCTTTAATGTTTCTAAAACTGAAAGGAGACAGAACTCAGTTCTTAGAATCAGGAAATAATCAAAGACTGAGAGTAACATTGTAACGGCAAAGCTGGGCTTTCCCATGAAGTGCTAGAAGAGTTCACCTTTGATTCTGTGAAGCTAGAACTTGTACTGTCTCCTAATTTCCTAAGATTTTAGCAATAATGTTTAGTAGATTCTATCGTGTTTCTTCTTGGGAGGTAATAAATAGGACCAGCAATGCCAACCCCAGATATAATCAGAAGAGTCATGGAATCTTCATGGGGAATATAGAGAATTCCACAAATGTTTCCCTTTTTGTTCTAAACCACAGCCCCCTTATCTAGTTTACCTGCACGGCACTGAGCATCTTTTCCCTGAATTGGATTCCATGAAGGGAGACACAACTGTGTATTTGGTGTGTGATAGATTTGTCTCAGATGGGAATAATGACTCTGCCCCATCTATGTAGTATCACATCAGCCAAATCACAGGCCCCAGGCACTTCCCAGTTACAGCCCTGACTCACTCCTTTCATGCACGTTTTATTCCCCCAGAATAAAGCCATTTCTCTGTGAACTCCAGCTCTCTATTTCTCTCAAACCATGACTTTTAGGATTAACTTCAGTTAAATTCTAGGGCTTTAAAAATATCCTACAGTGGGAAAATCTACTAAATGTAAGCACTGAGATGAATATATCTGCTTTCTGAGCACATTTGTGTATAATGAAAAGTTACTCATAGGTTCGATTTTTCTCTATATGTTATGAGATCTGGTAAGCAGGGTTAGGCCTCGATGACTGCCCCTCACCCTCACTCCGTTGGGAAGAATGGAATTCTGCTGATCAACATGGGCCATGCAAGGCCAGGGCTAACCCCTGGAGCTTGGGGGAAAGTAGGGGGTGGATCTTCCCAAAGAAGGAGGAAGGAAGTATGGCTATACCACTTCCTTTCTCACCTTTGAGCATATTGTCTATATAGCCTGCTAGTCTTACTTCTGCTCTTTTTTGACATTTTAGTCCAGTTAATTCTTCAATTTCTATTATTTAAAAAAAATATTTTTTCTCTTCAAATTATAAAAAGAATATGTAAAATATATTTAAGTCCCTTGCAGAGTAATAATTAATGAATGACCCACGTGTGTAAAGGAAGAGAACCCTATATATGGAGATAGAGAGGTATATATTACATTTAACTTATGTGGTAGCCTTTTGCTACCACAAATGAGGCTACGCTGTACAGCTGCGTACAAGTCTCCATGGGAACTTTTGTGATTTCTCTGGGACATTTAAGGAGGAGCTGCTGGATCACAGGGTTTGTGAATAGTTAATATCACTAAGTACTCCCAGGCTGTCCTCAGAATGGCCACACGAGCCCTGGGGTGATCCACTATTAAAGCTTCCAGCAGCTCCAGATGCCTTAAAATTGCTCCACTTCACACTGGCGCCACCACACTGGAGACACATATACCTTTATGTACACATAGCATAAGTGATGAAGACCTGAGTTAGTCGTCTTAAATGCCTCCCAGAACATTTTCCTTTTCAGTGATCCAGGTTTTCTTTAATCCCTGAAGCCCCTTCCACCATTAAGACTGAATCTTTCAAGAAGACAGGATGGCAGGTACCACCCAGAACAGCAGAGTCCTCAGAGCGGAGAACACACCCTCTTCTACTGAGCAGCAGGAGAGTTAAGTAGAGAAAAGTGCGTGTCTTGCTGGGGCCCTGTAGGGTTTCAGTGCTCCCCACCCTGCACCCCTAACATTTAGCCAGCGAGGAGTTGAGCGGGGAGCCAGAAATCACGCAGAGAAGAGAGACCAGGTAGAAGACTCAGACTGTTGAGTTGTGTGCTGGTCAGAGAAATGCCCTTAGGAACTGAAGTTCCCATTTCTAACTCAGGAAGAGACCACCACAAATAGTGCCTTCTGCCCTAGACCGACGTGGGTGTTCGCAGCTGAGGAGAAATAAGCATGAGCTGTCAGAGAGGACTGTATTTGTCATCCTCAAGTTTCCCACGCCTTCTCATGCAGTATGGAAAGGAGACAGAAGTTGCTACTTGCTCCCAGAGGCAGTCGTTGAAGCTAGGCAAGAGTCACAATCAATGCACTTGTCTTTGGGTCACTATAGAGAGAGGTGAGGTGACACTGAGGGCCGCAGCTAAACAGAGTAGGTCAGAAAGCCAACGGGGACAAAACTGGACATTTCAGTAGTAGACACGGTCAGGCTAGAAGCCGAGTGAGGTGAGTCTATATCTCAACTGGTGATCAGCCGGGAAACGGAGGGAACAATAATATCACCTGGGCAGCGAGCCCTTCCCTGCAGCTAGAGGATAAACAAGCTCCTCCTTGCTCCCAGACACCTTCCCTGGCACAAGGAGAAGGAAGGAAGACTCTTCATAAAATAAACAGCTCTGATAGGAAGTTTGGATTTTACATTGCTTGAACATGAGTATCTATACACCCAAAAAATAAAACTGCAAAATCAGAATAGATTAATTTACCTCATAATCATGCACTTTAAAAAATAATTTTCTGGCCGGGCGCGGTGGCTCACGCCTGTAATCCTAGCTCTCTGGGAGGCCGAGGCGGGCGGATTGCTCGAGGTCAGGAGTTCGAAACCAGCCTGAGCAAGAGCGAGACCCTGTCTCTACTATAAATAGAAAGAAATTAATTGGCCAACTAATATATGTAGAAAAAATTAGCCGGGCATGGTGGCGCATGCCTGTAGTCCCAGCTACTTGGGAGGCTGAGGCAGAAGGATTGCTTGAGCCAGGAGTTTGAGGTTGCTGTGAGCTAGGCTGACGCCATGGCACTCACTCTAGCCTAGGCAACAAAGTGAGACTGTCTCAAAAAAAAAAATAATAATAATAATAATAATTTTCTACACTCATCAGGAATTTAAGCAGCTCCAGAGGAAGGGAAGGTCAGATACAGAAACCCGGAAGCTGAACTTGCTGCACGCTCACTTCAGATGGATTCAGTTTGGGCCTTGCTGCGTGTGTGCAGCACAAGTGTCTAACGCTCCAGTTTGAGATGCTCAGGCATGCTCGGTTCAACTCACTCACCTCCTTACCAGGCATCCAAGGATTCCTTTGGTCTTACGGTTGACCTGGAGGAGAGATAAGGTATATAAGTAAGAAAGTAGCTTCCTCTATTTGCTGTAGAGTAAAGGAGAAGACTCAGTGGGGTGCTGCTTGCACCCCCACAGTGGCTGTGCTTTACCGGCAGGCACCTGAGGCCAGCACTGAAAGTCCCAGCACACACCAGGACCGCCAGGGCATGACCCCCTCTCCTAGCTCTTGTGTTCACCTCCACACACACACTGCTTCTCCCTTCCTCGGCCGATTTAAACTGTGCCCACCCCCCTTCTTCCATTGCCACTGCAGACAAAAGATAAATTCTCTCTTTGCTGACATAGTAGCTATTCATGGCTAATGGGTAGAGCCATAACCAGCCATTAAACCTGGATCCCAGAACATCATTCCTTTTCCTCAAGGGCAGGAAGAGCTTTCGCCAGAAACATTCCACGTAGACATTTCAGAAAGCCACCAGAAAGCCTTCATGGTGGAACAGGGCACCTCTCCCACAGTTTGGGGACACTGGAAATGATGTTCACTGGATGGAAATGAGACTTCAAATCCAAGACCCCTCAAAGGGGGAACTCACACACCCAGCCCAAGGCTTATGCAGCCTGGAAGAGATGCTGCTAGTAGACAGGGGAGGGGCTCCATTAGGTACTGGATTCACGGAGGGAGTGGGAGGATAACGTGGAGGAGACCAAGGGACCAGGAAAGAGTTGTTAAAGGCTCTGTGTTAATTTCTAGGGGCTTCCATGACAAATTACCACAAACTGGGTGGCTTAAAACTATAGAAATTTATCTGGATGCTAGAAGTCCAAAAATCAAGCTTTTAGCAAGGTTAGTTCCTTGACAAGGCTCATGCCCCTCTCCTAGCTTTAGTGGTTGCCGGCAATCTTTGGCTTCCAGATACTTCAATCTCTGCCTCTGTCTTCACATGGCTTTCTTCCCTGTGTACGTCTGGGTCTCTGTGTCCAAGTTTCTGTCTTCTTATAAGGACACCAGTTATTGGATTAGGGACCACCCTAATTCAGCATGGCCTCATCTTAACTTGATTACATCTGCAAAGACTCTATTTCCAAATAAGGTCACATTCTGAGGTTCCTAGTAGACATGGATTTTGAGGGGACACTATTCAACCCAAAGACAGGCTCCAAAGACAATTAACTAACCACATAGCTCTGTTCTTTTGGCCACATAGATATGTGGCTTCAGGGGCCAACAGAATAACTATTACCATACACATTTATCATGGTTTACAGCATTGGATGACTGAACAATCAAAGTCTTCCCCTAGCAAGTGCCAGCACCCGAAGCATAGTGATAAATCATGCCAACAGCATTCTCTAGCTCAGTGGTTTCCAAGCCCTTTATCCACAGAACCCTTTGTTCAAATGAAACCTTACTAGGGATGTTCAGACAAACATAATGGATAAAAGCTGTTCTTGTAGAAATGAGGCTGGCAGGGCCAGGGCATCTTCCTCCCATGTCAGATTATAAGGGAAGGAACATCACAGAATATTACTGGAAATCCATGTATCCACTTTTCCGTTTAGTTCAGGAAGCAATTGCTAAGCACAGCTAATACAGAGCGAAATAAGTATACAGGGGTTTAGAGAAGAGGTAGAGAGGAGAATGAAGAAGGACCAGAAAGGAGATCATTACGGCCACCCTAAGTATTTGGTTATAAAAAAGAGAGGAAAATCTCAGGATACCAATCTGTGGCCTCCTGGTGATCCCAGGGGAAAAGGAAAAAGGATGAAGAGGAAAGAGAAGGAAGGACCCACGCATACAGTGACTTAGAGTGCTAGCTAGTGCTCTTACATCCCTACTACAGATTCATGGACGAAGCTCTAGAGTTTCCTGGGTCAAGTTTGAGGCAGTTAGCTCCATAGTTCAGGCAAGTTTACACTGAATGGCTTAGAGATCTTCTGTTTCCCAAATAAGTAGATAAACAGAAGACTTTAGTCTCCAGCCCCATCAATCTAATACCTTCTGTGAGCATTTACCATGTGTACAGAGCCAAATAAAACCATTCAATCTAAATAAATCAATAATAATTTATATCTTTTGATCTCTCCAAAGACAAATGTTTATATGTAGAGAGAATAAATAAATAAGATGACATTTAAAGGAAGAAGCAATCCCACCCCACAACACACAAGACATAAAAAAAAAAAAAAAAAGTGAGATGCAAAGCCATTTGAGCAGTTGTTGGAGTCTTTACCAAAGGGAGGACATATCTGTCAAGACGCCAATGGTTCAGTTAAACTTTCCTATAGTCATGCTCCCAGGAAAGCACTTTAATTTGCTCTCTAGTTTAATAGTTTAATAGCTTAACCTATTGATTCTCACATTTTGAAACTAGCTGAGCCTGAGAGGAAACAAAGGAAAGTTGGAAATGATTCTGACATCAAAATGTTGCTACGCAGTATTACCGTTTCTTGAAACGTATGAACAACAGGTATTTTGTTCAGTGAATGTCATGCCACCAATGTCACCCCTGTGGCTAATTCTCTGTGCAAGGCTCTCCTCATACAGTAGATTTTTGGGGTCGTGAATCCCTTTGGAAATCTAGTGAATATAATATTCTTCTTTTTTTGTTTGGTTTTATTTTGTTTGTTTAACTGCACTGGCTGAACTAAAAGGAATAATATTCTTAAATGCATTTTTAAAATGCATAGAGTTATAGGAACACTAATTATATTAAAACAGAGTTATCAAAATATTTTCTAGAAAACAAATTTGTGATGAGGCTATATATATATATATATCTTCCTTATTAACACATTAAATAATAAGATCTAGCAGCAAGTAAGTGGTGAGTGTAGGTGGTATTTTGAGAGCTCTGCCAGCAACTGTCATCTGATTTGAAAATATCTTTGATTTCTATTGGTGACAAAGTCATAGGTACTGCTAACACCACTGTGACGTGTTGCCTATATTCATAACTGAAGAAAATGCTAATTTTAAGTTAGAAGTGAGTGAAAGTAAAAAATGCAATTTTTTCCCAGCTACAGACTCAGACCCCAGACTCTGACTCCTCCATGTGGCTCTCTTTGATTTCAAGATGAAGAAACATTCTCAGAAACTTCCACTCTTATAAGTTCATGGCTACACTAATAAAGGTTATTCATACCTACTCTGGCCAGCCTGGCTGGGAAGTCAAAATAATGGCAGCCTCTGAGCACCGGGGGCTACCACCCCTGGAGCTCAGGGAAGAAGGCTGTTGATGCCGATGTCAGAGATTCAAAGTACTGGAGATGGAAGGGAGAATAGAAGTTTTCTGGTGTCTACTAGAAATCTGCAGGGCAGGGCAGGGCAGGAGTGGGACGGGGGCTTCACAGGCCAGTGTGCAACTGACCAAACCAGAGCAGACTCCTGAGTGGTCAGGCACTGCCATGGACTGAATGTTTGTGTCCCTGCAAAATTCAAATATTGAAGCCCTAATTCCCACTGTGATGGTATTAGGGACCCTTGGGTGGTGATTAAGTCATGAGGGTGAAACCCTCATGAATGGGATTAGTGACCCTATAAAAGGGACCCCAGAGAGCTCTCTTGCTCTCTTCCCTCCCTGTGAGGATACAAGAAGATAGCAGCCTGCAACCCCAAAGAGGGCCCTCACCAGAACCTGACCATACTGGCACCCTGATCTCGGACTTCCAGCCTCCAGAACTGTGAAAAATAAATTTCTGGGATTGGGCTCAGTTGCTCATGCCTGTAATCCCAGGACTTTGGTGAGGCCAGCGCAGAATCAAATCAGTTGAGGCCTGGAGTTCAAGACCAGCCTGGGCAAAAAAGAAAAACCCTGTCTCTACAAAAAAAAATTTTTTTTTTAATTAGCCAGGCATGGTAGCATGAGCCTGTGGTCCTAGCTACTCAGGAAGGTGAGGCAGGAGGATTACTTAAGCCCAAGAATTCAAGGCTGCATGACCTATGATCATACTACTGCAACTGGGCAACAGAGCAAGACCCTGTCTCTACAAAAATTAAAATAAAATAAATTTTAAAAATAATCATAAATAAATAAAATTTAAAAATAAATGTCTGTTGTTTATAAGCCATACAGTCTACTGTACTTTGTTAAAGCAGCCAGAACAGACCAAGACAGGCACCCTAGGTGTTTTAGGTGATGGGTTCAGGAGCCAGACACATGCACCCATTCAATGTCTGAATAATTCACACAACAGATATTTCATGAGGGCCTACTTTGTGCGAGGCACTGTGCAAGGTAATGAGAGTGGATGCCAGGAGCCTTCACTGCATTCTTGGGGAAGAGCATGGAAGTGCCCAAGAGCCCCTCAGTATGATAAATATTAATCAGAAACAGTGATGAAGCCAAGCAGTCCATACCAAATGGGTCTATTTCTCACAAGATGCTGTGGATCCAGGATGCAGTTTGGAAAAAAAATACATGGAAGACAACTAACATTTATTGAGCATCTACTATGTGCCAGGCACTCTACTGTGCCTGAGATAATTACATTCATTATCTCAAGATGTCCTTAGGAAAGAGGAAGAAAATGGGTCTCTGAAGGGATGAATGGTTTATTTGCCACTTAGTACATGTCTGGACTTGGTTCTGAATCCAAGTCTGTGTAATTCGAAAGCACACTTTTTTCCAGTAACCATGCAGTGCAGGCGGCGGGCTGGCCTCTTGGCCATTCAAACTCAGTTTCCTAATCAGGTTGTAACAGTATCGTGGATCATTTGAGGAAATGTACACAAGTGCCCTGTAAGCTATAAAACACTAAGCACATGTTATTGTGGTTGTAATTATGTGTCACTTTGTTATAATAATATTATCATCAGAAATTTGGTATATAATAAACTTTGGATATCATTAGAAACCCTGGGCATCTAGACAATTCTATGATAAATGACCCAAGCAGTGAGGATGACTATGTCACAGAAATGTGGGGAACAATGTATTCTGGTTTTTCCTGGAAATTGCTTTATTATTCAAGGAAATTAGGTCATTCCTAATTAGGAATATAGTATCCAAATTAAATCCCCCTTACTTAGTATAGTA